AAAAAAAAAAAAGAAAGAAGATTGAGAGAGTAAAGGAAGAATTTCTTCATCCTACCTCTTTAGGTAGAAGAGATAGAATCATCATCAATGGGATACATCAACGCATTCCATGAACTCTTCAATAGAGTCATGTATGTATACAAAGAGCGAATTACACACACAAACACACAAACACAAACATATGGAGAAAGAGTAAAAAAAAAAAAAACAAAAAAAACAGACAAACAGATAACAACAAAATCTTGTCTTTCCTCAAAAGCCTAAACCCAAAAGCCAATGATGCAATATCATTCTCCCGTCAAGTCCTACATTGTAGACATAGATAGAGTGACTACGCACAAATATCTTTTTTGTCGGAAAAATCTTCATCAGTTCCTCCTCAAAGCGGAAGAGATCCCCTTCTACACCCTGAATACGTAAATAGAATGCCGGCATCAGATTTCGCGGGTTCATAGAATACACTTTCCCAGGCAACATACCATTACTATTGCGGTGCACAAAGAAGGGAATCGTATCAAGTGGATCTGCCGGGCCAAGTGGTGGATAATATCCCACCACAGTTCCCCTACCAATCACCCCAAACTGACTTCCTTGTTGTTGTTCTTGTTGTTCTTCTTTTTCTTCTTTTTCTGTAGGGCAAAGTTTAGAAAAGTCGTGAAGTTTAAACCGCAATGGTAGTTTTAACAATTCATCGTAAATATCACTTCGCAGTGCCCGGTTCCATTTTCCATATCGTGTGTGTGGGACGGGCAGCACGGCGGCGGCATTTGCCTCTGGCGGCACAGCGCCGGCCGCGATGTCTGTGGGCGGCACGACGTTGATGTATTTACCGACGGCCGGCCGCACATCGTGGCCGAGAGCCGTCGCCGTCGCCGTGCCGCCAAGCCACACACGCCGCAGGAATGTTCGCCGCAGCATGAGGGCCGCAAGGACGAGTGAACTACATTAATAATAATAATAATAATAATAATAATAATAATAATAATAATAGAGAGAGAAAGAAAAGAGAGAATATGGGGTTAGTAAAGGAGTGGGTTTATATATATATATATTTGTATGTGAGAGAATAACGGGGAACAA